GGTAGACCAATCCAGAGCCAATCTCTCTACGGCTCTGGACCAATCACAAAGGACTGCGCCATCTGACCAATCACAGCAGTGAGGGCTCACGGAAAGGAAGGTTTTAGAGAGACTGATTCTTTGAACTGCTTCGCACGAGTCGTTTATGAATAATTTAGAAATGAGGTCAAATTAAATCAATTTTTTGAGAAAACTAACGTGTTTTTTGACCTTGCATGCATGTAAACCTGTTTTAGGAGACTCATAAAATAATATTAGCAACCTTAAAAATGGCATAATAATAGGGGCACTTTAACATCCATGGAATCTCCATTGTACAAAAGATTCTTTATAGTGGGAAAAGGTTCTCTAACTTTTTAAAAAGTTCTTCACACTAAGAAAAGAACTGTTCACTCAAAGTTTCTTTGATGGTTCTTCTGTCGCATCACTATGAAAAGCCCCTTTTGACCTTAATTTTTAGGAGTGTACTTTGAATTACATATTTCACATTTCATCCCAAAAAATATAAATGTCCAAACACCCAAGAACCCTCCACATTTCAAAAACATTCCTTTATTATAAATAAATTATTTGTATAAAAAATTGAATTGGCATGCTTCAACCATGGCATTTGCACACTCACAACCCGAGGTTACAGACCAGAGTAGCCAATACAAGAGACAAATGCGTTTTCCAATGCAGGTCTGACACTGTGGGACAAGAATGAAAAATTTTCACAACCACAAAATACTTACAATTAGAATAACATGTAACATGGTCGACTCCAATATTTGTTCTGTTTCTTTAAACTTAGTATTTTTTTCTCTTACCCTTTTCCAGTGTCCCATTTTATCGGCTGCCCACGTAAATGGCAGCTTTTGTATCCATTTTTTTTCCCTAGGCTTTCTTATAAAATATCCAGGAAAAAAAGTCCAAGAGTCCATCCTCTTGTCCACAAACAACACTGATGTCTCATGCTTGGATTTCAGTCATCGGATCCTGTTTTGTCGGAGTCAGCCAGATCCATGCCAAACCATTTTCAGGATGTGCACTCATATGGCATGATTGGTGTAGCTGACGTAGGTTGTTTTTGTGGACGGTTCTGAAAAAGGAAATAGCCAGTTAAAGAAAACAGCAGTGTATCAGGAAAGAAAAATAACAAAATTACTGCAAGAGATGAGAGAATTGTGGTATACTGACTTAATTCGGTTTGATTCTGAGTGACCATCAGAATGAAATTTCCACTTCATTTCATGGATTGAAAAGTATTTTTCTCTTGCTTTCATTTAAAAGTGGGATGGAACAATTGAGAAAGTAATAACATTCAGACATTATTCCCTCAATTTTTGCAAACATAAAATATGCACCTATACTTTCTGCCATCATTCACCCTTATGTTGTTACAAATCCATATGAATTTCTTTCTTCAAAAGGTGAGTTTTTGAAGAATATCTCAGCACCTCTTGACAATATTATTAAAAAGTGAAGGCCCTAAAATGATGAAAAAGAAAGCACAAAAAAGTAAAAATGGCTCATATGACTCGTACACTATATTCCAAGTCTTTTAATAGCTTTGTGCGACAATCAGACTAAAATTTCATAGACAAATAGTTATTTTCATTGCATTGTTTAGACCAGTTCATAAAACTGGTCTGAATTATTCGTATCGCACTAAATCAGTTATTACACATTTTTCATGGTGCATTCAAAGAGACTGCATGAAACGAGAGCACATTATTAAACATTTCACCTTCAGTTCAGGGTTTTTAAACAACATCAGGTTCAGTAAATTATTAATTTTTGGGTGAAATATTCCTAAACTATGCCAATAATCTCTTAAAGTGATAGTCCACCCAAAAATGAAATTTCTCTCATCATTTATTTACCCTGAAGTTGTTCCAAACCAAACAGTTGATGGTAGCCTTTGACTTCCATAGTAGTTTTTCCATACTATGGAAGTCAATGGCTACCATCAGCTGTTTGGTTACCCACATTTCTCAAAATATCTTATTTTGTGTTCAGCGGAAGAAATTCAAACAACAACTTCAGGGTGAATGAATGATGACAGAATTTAAATTTTTTGGTGAACTATGCCTTTAAGTTTCAGTCACAATTGACTGTTCGCCCTCCTTAGTTACCGTACTGTTGCCATCCCCGACAAACAATGCAAAAAATCTCACACTAATCTAACCAGGTTAGTTAATCTACTCTCCTATCTGATTTATGGTTAAGGCTAGAAGGGATACAGCTGCGGCTACTGGGCAAGCACATTTACATATTTTCCGAGCCAACAGTATAACGTGAAACCTATGAAAATGGTTTTAAAAAGCACATGGTGCCATAGTTTCATCACTTTAGAGTGTCGAAGTGACTGTCTTTTTGCAGTAAAGGACCTGTCATAGTTTAATGAGTGGGAAGATGACATGAAGCAAGACAAGGTTACCTGAATTAAAATCAGATGAGTGCACATGTGCATGTACAGCTCCCTTTTGGGGCGAAGTTCACGGGATTTTGTCCACAGAATGATAAGAGCACAGGTTTTAACATATTATTTCGTGATGAACATATGATTTGTCATGATGACAAACAGAAAGCGGTTTAGTTTAAAAGTTCATACATCTCTACACTATCATCAACAAACAATGCACCTTTTTTGCTTGCAAAATTTCACTAATGTGACTTCAACATTTTAAAAATTGTCCTATTAATTGGTCCACGGTGCTACTAATGACTAATACCTGTACAGAACTGACTCACAACACTTATTAGCATATTTAATGCTGCTTAAACAGGCAAGGTAATGCAGCATTTACAGTACACAAATTAAACACACTGAGAAACACCAAAATGTGTTTGTCCTCCAAATGGCATTCTCTGCTTATTCATTACATGCCACATTTGACTCTCATTACGAACTGGCCCAGTGTTAGAGCCCTTTAGCAGAAGGGTCATGGCACATTAGTGAGGGTCTGAACATTTGCATTAACTTTTACACAGTGCTGTGGACCTGCACATGCTGCCCTTGCCCTGGTTAATGATAGGATCCCTCGTGTAAAAAGTAACAGCACACTGGCTGCTGAAATACAGTCTGCTGCCATGAGCTTGCAGCCAGTAATTCAGATTCCCTCAGACATAATTTTACACGAGATGTGAACCAAGCCTAAACGTTCTATCTAGTGTTAGCGTCAGACAATGCAGGCAGCATAGCTAATGAATTAGCAATGATACTCTAGTGAATGCATCCTTATCTGCTCCATTTCCTCACAATAAAAAGCTTCAGATGACAAGATAAATACCAAAGAGAGTAAGCAATGCAAACACTGTAGAATAATCAGTTCATTAGTACAAAAATCATGCACAGCTTAGCTACCATTAAATGAATAGTTCACCCAAAAATGACATTTTGGTTCATAATATATTATGTTTACTTTTTTAAAATAAATTAATGCAATATATATGTGGGTCAATGACACACTGTATAAGGGAAAATAATTTAAAAAAAATATAGTTTAAAATTAAACTTGTATTTATGTTGGTTTTAAAAAACTACTATATCATTTTCAACAATTTTTTTGCTTGTATAAATTGCTCTAAAAATGTCATATAGTGTAACCATCTAAGCAATAACAAATTTTTAGAGCTTGAATACAAGTGTGTAGTGTGTACACATATTATTTTTGTATTTTTTTTTGTAAACAACATTTTAAAATATGTATTATTAAATAAGCATTTTTACAAATATGATGACTTATTAATTCATAAATATAAAAGTTTTTAGGGAAGTGCACCATTAGTGCATTAGTAAGTACATAAATATATGAAAACAAAATCTAATTAAATAAAAAAATATGTAATTTATAAATAATAAATGTTTAAATATCTGAGACAGTGGTTCTCAACTGGAGGGAAAAACACATTAAAATAATCAAAAACAAGTAAAAATCAACATTTTTGAATAACCAGGGTTCCCAGAGTCCTGGACAAGCCATATAAATGTATAAAATCTTAAAAATCCATGGGTAGTTTATAATGAATGTACATTTCTCTAGTTATGCCAAGCTCTAAAATATTTTACCAGGTAGAAATTAGTGAAAAATATTTTAAGAAAAAAATCCTTATCCAGTCGATCATGTAAATTCATTGGTTAAAAAGAGTGGAAACCTTGAAGAACATTTGGCTCTGAAAACGTCTGGAATCCTGAAATTTAATTTACATAAACTAGGAGTGTTGGATCTTCCAGCATCTTGTGGGCAATGGAGGGCCTGGAGGTTGAGAACCATAATAAAATATTAAGCCAAAGGTTTTCTTTTCAAAAAATTATTTTTCCATCTTTATGGTATCAAGAGATTTTTATAACCTTGATTTTTTTTATTTTATGCCCTTTGAAAAATCTCAAAATGAATTTTAATAGAAAAATTAAAGGGGTCATATGATGCGATTTCAAGTTTTCCTTTCTCCTTGGCGTGTTACAAGCTCTTGGTGCATAAAGAAGATCTGTAAAGTTGCAAAGACTAAAGTCTCAAATCCAAAGAGATATTCTTTATAAAAGTTAAGAGTCAGCCACACCTACCTAAAACGGCTCGTTCTAACACGCCCCCACATATCTAAAAGGAGGGGGCTTTGTAGAAAACGAAGCGTTTGAGAGAGGCGGGGCATAGAGGACCTACAATAATGTACAGTATTTGAAAAATAATGTGTTTTTTGAACATTAAAGCATGTCAACATATTCTGTTACACCAAATACACAAAATAATGATCTTTAAAATAGCATAATATGACCCCTTTAAAATACATGAATTGCATTTTTAAATAAATTAAGAAAAAAAAGCATCACATCATTGACCCACGTGCCACATTAACATTAACAAACTGTGCTTGATAGAGAAGACGTCTGTACTCACTACTATTGTCCCCACTCTCACAGAGCTCGGTTTTCACCTCTCCATTGGGCCGTTCACTGGCCAGCTGGCTGAGCTTGTTTGTCATGGTGGCAGCGGTGACGATGGCCTTGAAGCTGCGCTTGCGTTTGGGCACGTTCTGTTCCGGGTGCAGGATAATGATGTAGACTTTGGGCATGTAGAGCATCCCCAGAGACACGGATGCACTCAGGCTCAGAGAGACAGTCAGTGTGGTCGTCTGAATGTACATCTGGAGAGAAAAAAAGAGGGCGATATCAATGGCTACAGTATGGGTGACAAAACAGTGCATATATATGGGCAACAAAAGTTCTAGTGTAACAAAAAACAAACAAAAAACATTTTCTTGTTTATAAATGTCCATGAGCTACAGCGACACTTGGCTTCTTAATCTTTCTTCGAAATAACTTTCTCCACCTCTGGATGTGACTTTCTTCTTTCACTCATGTAACCAAGGCCAAAGCAACTAGATTTTTAAATTTTTCTGAAGTGGTGCTTGTCCACATTTGTCACTACTGCAAAATGAAATGTTTTATTTGCTCATTGCAATATGGTTGTTTTGGGTGGTTATAAGGCAGTTGTTTTTAGTGTTAGATGGTTGTTTTTAATGCTACATGGTTAGTTTTAGTCAAACGAGCCAACCCTCAGGTCCTGGGGCTGGATTTATTAAACATTATTAAACTTAATAACTGGCTATTAAACTTAATTTTCTTCCTTGAGAAAAAGGGAAGAATATTTTGTATTCCAAAAAAATGCTTCTTAAGAATGTTCTTTTATGATCTTGTTCTTGTTCTAAGCTTGTTCTTAAAGCAAAACATAAGAAGAATTCATCTTCCTAAAAAGAATCTTATTCAAAATCACCATAAATGACTTTTTAAAGTTAAAAAACGTGATGCAGAGTGCTGAACCCCTGCCAAGCCATTCTGAGAATTTATTAAGAATTCTTCAAGGATTGCACTTATGAACATTCTTACTAACTTGGAATTCATTTTAAGAATAACTTCTTCATGAATCCAGCTGCTGGTTTCTAGAACTGGATTAAGATCTTCCTTAAGTGCAAGTCTATGGGAATTTCTGCATTTTGTTTTATTTGTCCACCAGGTTAAAATAAATAGTTCAATGGCAATGGCACACCTCTCCACAGCAAGCAGCTTAACGTATCATTCACATTTGAAGCACTTGGATGAGTCGTGCACCAAATTTGGGTTAGGGATTTGTTCTATGCTAATGTAAGCTAGATAATTCCATAACAAGTGACGAGTTATTGCTAATAGTATTATGTTAGTGGATTATTAAATTTGAATGCACCTCAAGATCAGGTCTGACTCCATTTTGGCGCACACCAGTCAAATCTGATTCCAATAATGCTAACGTTTGCAGATTCACAAAACTTGAACCTAGGATGCAACCACACACCCCGAGCAAGACAATTTAAAATGTCGATTCATCCTTGCCCACGTCTGAGAGTTTGATGAATGGCTAACCTCTCTAACAAATATATTACTGCTTTCCTTACCTTGGGTGCGAGTGATCAGTAAGCTAACGAGCAGTAAATGATAACATATGCCTGCTGTGGGGGAAGCAGATGATAAAGCTCTTCACGTTTATATTAAGAGAAATGGGGTGCTGAGAATGAATGAGCCCAGGTTTTTAGGTCAGGGGAGGAGAATCTAGAGCACCGCAGGAGGGTGTCACTCCGTACTACTGCTTAGATGAGACTGAAATCAAATTAACTGTATTGCTTACTGACGTGGACCAAGAGGTAAGCACATCAGCAGAGTATTTCATGTACTGTCTCTCTGAGACAACAGAGCACTGCCATCCTGTCCAGGAAATTTGACTGCGCACAATGCTCACTGAATCTCCCTTTGAATTGTAATTTATTTCAAGTCTAACCTTGTGACCCTGCTACCACTCTTTTGTGCAAGTCTCCATACTGCAGACAGTAGAAGGAATGACACTAACTGAAAAAGAAAATTGAGAATGTATCATAGCAGCTGTTGCAAAAGTACTGCATTTAAATTAAAACAAGCAAAGGAGTTTTATGGCCTTTAATATTTCTTCGAGAATGGTTATGTATTTTAGCTGGACCCTAGGCTAGTCTGATGGCTGGTTTTAAAGGGGTTTTGGCAACTTCTGTTCAGACTGGGAGACTATCTAGGAGACCATCTAAACTGGCTGAAAACACCAGCTTTGCCAGCTTTGCCAAGTCTGATTTAAGTTAAAGAAGCTGATTATTTGGGAAATATCTGCTGAAGATGTTCTAAAAGATGTTCTTCAAGAAGACTTTGATATTTTTCATGTCATGTCAAATGTCATATATCTATGGAGCCCCTAAGGGGACGTGGTGATGGGAAGACTATGAGACTGGAGGAAAAATGATGTTTCAATGTTTTTGAGTTCACTTGCAAAAGTATTGCATTCCCCCAATAAACTTTGTTTCCTCGCAAAGGCATTGAAATAAAGTTTTTCCTCTCAGCTCATATTATTTTCTTCACAAAAGGTTTGAGAGTAAAATGCAAAGTTTTTCGGAGGGAACGCAAAAGTTTTGCAAGAGAACCTAAAGGTACGGTGGAACGAAAACGTTTTGCAATGGAACATCTCGGGTTACGTATGTTACCATGGTTCCCTGAGAAAGGGAACAAGACACTGCGTCCCTATAGTGTCCACAAGAGGAAGCAGTGCGAGTTCCCATTCGAAGGGGAACATCTTGGTTTACGCATGTTTGGTTCCCCGAGAAGGGGATTGAGACACAATGTCCTCTTGTGGACACTATAGAGACTCAGTGCGAGTTCCCATTCGAAAGGGAAACCCAAAGATTCTTGGGGCAATGGAAACGTTTGTGAGAGAATGCAAACATTTTGCGAAAGAACCCTAAAGATCTCGGGGGAACACAAACGTTTTGGGAGAGAACGCAATAATTTTGAGAGAAAACCCAATGGTTCTCAGGGGAACGCAAAAGTTTTGTGAGAGAAAACTCAAAATCACTGTAATACAATTTTCCTTCCATCTCATTACTTTCTCATTACCATGTCCCTTTAGGGGCTCCATATACTGTATATCACATCATAAAGTGTGACAGAAACAAATTCCAGAAGCTGAAAAATGGTTCAATTAAACATTTCCCTTTCTTTGTGTTTTCAGTTAGCCATTAGCAAGCTAACAGCTTGGCCTATTATCTTAGCATAGTGCTAGCTGCTTAAAAAATCTCCAATGATTAGTTTACTCTTTCTTAAGCCCAAAGAATACTTCAGTTTTGGCACAAATGCTTAACATATGCTACAGTCAATCACATAGCCTTATTATAACTGTAAAAATGTTGCGTTTATCTTTCAACTCCCTCACACAATCTCTTTTCAATGCATACATCTGTTGTTCTTGTTGTCTCCAGTAGATTGTTGTTGTTGTTTTTCCATCTCATCCATTTCTTTTTTGACTGTCAATCAATGAGCAGTGTTGCCAACTTGGGCTTGACTCTAGGTTTACAAAAATTAACCATGGTTTGCTTTGCCATACTTTCAATGTTACTGTACCACTAAGATGAAACGATTTTATAAAGCATTCCTCATTTGTATTTCACTGTGGATAAAAGCGTCTGCCAAATGAATAAATGTAAATGTATGCTATTTCAGCTACACCCATTAATAACAGGTGCATAAAATCAAGCACAAAGCCATGCAATCTCTGCAGGAAAACATTCAAATCGAATGAATGCAGCTTAATTTTATATATTTGCAGCAAAATGAGCACAAATACATCAGGAATATACTGCATACCCCTATAGTGTATTCTGAAAAGCACTTGAGTGTGTTTTTATATTTTTATGTGCCTATTGTAATTCACAGCGTCAGTCAGCAGTACCAAAACAGCAGGGGTAAAAAAAGAAAACACACTCTCCAAAAGCCATACGAAGAAGTAAACTCCATTTAACTAAAGATCTTTGGGTAGCTTAAGTGGTTTAAAAATCAATGCCACAGCATGCGAGCGGTGAACGAATAAACACAACCAACTATATATAAACTGGAACTCAAAATGTCCGTAAAACTGCAGATGACTCATCTAACTCTAATTACCCCCGGCAGGCATCCTTTCCTCAACTTTTCATCTGTTCCCCTCTATTCAACTGCACTGCAATGCAAAGTGAGGGTACTGACAGAAAAACCCAATTGGTATAGTTCCTTCCCTCACTCCAGGACGTTTAACACAAGCAATCCCAATGCTAATGTACAATCGGCTCTCTTCAATGAGGAAATGCACAAGTATGCTGAAGAAACAGGACCGTTAATGCAGAAAATAAGCAGAAACGAGGAGGCGCAAGGTTCAAATTACACGCCATGCAGCTGTAAAGAAACTTCTGAGTTTTAATGAGAGTGAGGAGATGTGAATAAGAGAGACATGCCTCAATAAAATACTCATATCTGTGTCTTCATATTGCGGTTGCTCATTGCAATAATCTTTTTAACATCAGTGGGGGCGACAGAAATAAGCCCGGGAGAGATAAGGGAAACGGGAAATACGCTCGGCGGATTTCTTTCCATTTGGACTCTTTTGTCATGGAGAGGAATGAAAAAGCGGTCTGATTTGAGGGAAACAATTTCCTCTTTTACGTAACTTTTAATTTAATACCACCCTGAGGGCCAGCTGTTTACCACAACGTTTGTTTTCATCGTGTTTGTTTCTCAAAATGAATGCTAGAGTGCTTTAATGTTAAATTCTGCAGTTCCACTAATCCCTCGTGTATGTGAAGCCACCTCGCTGAGTAAAAATAGCCTATCATAACTCACTTATGCTAATCTGACTGAGATATGCTATCTAGCAGATGAGAATTAAACACTGGAAAAGCTGAGAGGAAGATTTTGTACTATATATAGGCTAAAAAGCTTGATAATTTGCTAATCTAAAACATTAAGTAAAAAAAAAAGGCTAAATGACACTGCAGCTCAATGAAAAACCTGTATAATTAAATGGGTACGATAACAAACGCCTTACATTTGATAGCCAGAAATATGCTGTATGCAAACAGAGACACAAGTCTTGGCCAATGCATTATATTGCGTAACTATAATGTTAACCAACTTGTGAGAAACCTGACTGGTGAAGAAGACAAGCTGCACTATAGCACCCCACGTGGCTAATCTTGGTTTGCTGTTTGCCGTGCATACTTGTGTTGGATTATGAACTGTGTTTGGACATATTTCCAGAACACAACATGTGAAATTGAGCTTGTTGTAT